GTCGGGCACAGGGCTTAGGTTACGGGAGTTTCTTTTTGTTGATGCAGTTTTTGCGTTGGTTGCCGTTGTTGTTGAATAGCAGCATGTGTGTGTGTATATATATATATATGTATCTCTCTCTCTCTCTCTGTCTGTCCGTGTGGGTGTGTGGGTGTGTGTTTTTGAATGTTTTTGTGCAGCGCTGTTTGTTTGTCGTTTCTGTTTGCGTGCCTGGCTGCTTGTGTGTCTGTGCTTGTTTTTGTATCACACTTGTGCTTACAAAATACACGAAAGTCAGAGTAACCGTAACGTTGGGCTGGAGCCATCAGCTCGGGTCCATGATCTACTGATAGAGGCCCACACTGCTTGAAAGCATCAACTAGGCTCGGAATGAAGGTTGAACATTGTCGATATCCTTACTCTTGTCACTGCTGTGGTTTGGGGTTTAGGGTTGTGTCTTGAACCTACGTCCTTTTGCCTAGGTGATCGGGGCATCCGCCGTGGCTTCTTCAGAGAGCTGAGGCACTCATCTTTCGGCTTTTTTGCCTTCAGTTTGACGCTTACTATAGTACTTTCTAAGCAGGCCTTCCCAAGAATGGGATCTCTTAAGGACTTCAAGCAGAGCAGTCCTACCTTGGAACACAGCCTTCTAGAGACCCGAGGCGTCGAGATAGAGCGCTGCTGCGTTGTAATTGCGCCGTGTGCCAGGATCCGGGCTTAACGCATTCGGCACTAGATGCGACTTCGAACTCAAGACACTCTAAACAGCACTTGTCCGACCGGGCAGAAGTTGATTCATAAGATCAGCGCTGCGGTTGCTGGCGTCCTCGCAACTATACAGAGAGAGATGGGTCTGCAGAGTCCCCTCCCATCCGAACCTTCGGCCTGCACCGGATCACTCATGCAATGTGGGGATGGAGGGTTTGGGGCTGAGGATTGGTTCACCACGGTTTACGGTTTCGGAGCCTGGGCGGTTTCGGGTGGAGTCATACTTGTGAACCTGCGACTCTTTGTTTGTAAGTCCCTCAGGTCTCTCAGCAAGGTATGGGCTTATTCGTACTCTTCTGGTCATTATCATGATAAGTGTTATTATGAGCCTGTGCTGGGGTGACGGTGCTATTGCCTCACGTTGGACATGGTTGTTGCTGCAGTTCCTTTAGGTCAGGCTTCACGGTACTGGCACCCTTACGATCAGCAAGCCCCCGTCCACATTTTGGACAGGCAGAAATTCTTTTGAAGTCTGGTTAAGATAGCTCTACTACCCTTAGCTCATCCGACTCGAGCACAGCGGAGCTGTAAAGATGTAGGCACCGGCTTGCAGGTACGACGTGGTGAAGCGCCAAGCCCGGAAGGAGCTGAAGGTGGCTATGCTGCAATGTATTCGCATTTCAGAGCACTTGTTTGTTTCCTGATGCTTCCCGTTTGTGCAGATAGACCTAGACGTAACATAGACCGTTAGTTGTATAGATGTGATACATAAGTGTAGCCCCCTTATTCCCTAAAACTTCGACAGCTGCAGTCTATCACGTTCGAAAGGCCAAGGAACTTCGACTGAAATCCCAGGCGGACTTAAAGTGGTTGTCTCTGGTTCTGTCTTGGATTACGGATTGTTCGTCGACAGACCAGCTCGAGTTCGAGTCATCCTGAGCCTCTGTGCTCCAGGATGCATCTTTTTTCCCCAAGCCCTGCCTGGCTGTTTGACTTCACTGAGCTTCTCACAAAACCTTGCACGTGACGATGTAAGCCATGGAGCTGAGGAAGGCAAAGAGAGCTTTCTGAAGATCCGATCTCTTCTGGATAAGCTCGCCAGCCGCATCGTCCCTTGAACTTGAAGGCCGTGGATGGTCGGAAGGCCAAGGCAGATTCCTTTGGGTTCGAGGATGCGTGGGTGACGACGGCCGCTGGCTAGTGACTAGTGTGCCACTGCGAACACAAGCCGCCGGAGCCTTGCTAATTGTGCACACGTGCAAGTACTGGCACCCTTCTGGTGGGCCTTGGTCGGGTGTTGGGTGATTGGCTTCACACAGCGGCCTCAACTTTGAACGCTTGCACATCGCATCGGTTACACTAAAACGCCCTCGGTTTGCGTGAATACATGTATATTTAGACATCTTGTTGATCGCTCGTTTGTCTACACTCGGTGGACTGGTAGACTGGTAGCCAAGGCTGTCGACGAGGAGAAGTTCCCGGAAATAACGGACCGCAGGGTTTCAGCTCGAATTCAGGGCGACTTCCTAGGTCCTAAAGGCACAATAGAAGGCACTAATAAACTATACTTTGCTGTACTCTACTATGATATACTTGTATCATGCTCTGACACTACCAATCGTGACAAGCCCCAACGGCTTGGCAAACTTCATGCTGTTGAGCGAACCATCGAAGGACGATGATATCAAAGGCAAGCACATACTGACTCCATAACTCTATTGGCACGCGCGCCATAGCATGGCAAATCGACTTAGAAATTCTGCTCTGCCGGCCTTGGCTACAGGGCTGGACTTCTAGAAGAACCCATGCCACTCCCACGAGTGTAGCAGTTCCACAGGTTCAAGGGAAGAGGACCGGTCAGGCGACGATGAATCAATGGATTAAGGCATTAAAGTTCCAACGTTCGCCTCTGGGCCTCTACTGTATAGCCAGTGGCGATGCCTTACCTTTTCATTCACGGATCCGGAACGAAGGGTCACAGTTCGATTGCGAATCCTGCTGTAATCGGAGTGAATGGCTTGGACAGGCACTGCAGGTACAGGACATGAGCTACAGCATCCCAAGGTTGAGGCTCTCTTATAGTTTGGCATCCTCAAGCAACGAACCGAAAAGCTTCCGCCTGAGTTCCGTTTCCAGCCCAAGAGGGCCGACCGCTTGAGACCCACACCGTGCCGGAGCCTGCGAGGATGACGGCAACAGCTCCTTTAAAGAAGTGAAATTCGTAGCTCAGTCGCACCTGTGCAATGTGGGGGCCAGACACTTCCTCGTTTTTCGTTCAGGATTTCAGAGGATAGAGTAGTCGTACCAGGACAACTGCTGCTAGCGTTCGTTCTCGTAGGAGCAACCGTCGCGTGGAGTGGCGTTGCTGGCAGAAGTCTGGTGTTGCAAGCACTGGGTGCACACACACACACACATCTGCAGCTCAAAGGTCAATTTATGCAGACCTTGAGGCTGAAGCAAAGTTCAATCAAGTCTGCAAGTTTCGTGCGGCTTTGCTTGTGCTGGCCCCAGCCTATCCGAAGCTCTTCACCGACTTTCACGAGTAAAACTGCTCGCCGCAGTAATTGCGTTGTCTTCTTATTGGTACTTTGTCCATCCGACTTTTCGCACATCGGTCAACACTGTAGTGTAGTCTAGACTTGCGAAGGTACTGCTATGTTTCTGTCTGCATTGTTTGTAAGGTCCTGAAAGAAGGGCAAGCCTTTAAGTCAACTGGCTGTAATCCCAGCATCAGGTGATAGTTGAGAGTGGGCGATGCGAAGACGAACCTCACCGCCGCAAAGCCTCCAATCTTGAGTGCCGGTCTGGCGCTTGGTTTTGGGGCATGTGGGCTTGGGAGCATGTTGGATGCTACCGTCGCTATGCATCCTTGTCAGCATCACCACCACAACGAGAGTCGCAATGCTAGCTAGCGCTGTTTCCATTGTCACCACCACAATCATAGTATTGCCAGTGTTGTCGTCCGCCTTAACCGTAATTTCTGTCTTCTTTCGTAGCCGCTCCCGCCACTACCACCACTACTACCTTTCTGTTTTGCTCAGGCTTCACAGATGGGCCTGTCCGGGTTGCCCAACATGACACGGCCCCGCCCCCCCGGCGATTGTTCTTCCAGTCCCTCTCCGGATCTTGCCAAGTAAAGAGATACTCATGAAGCGGCACTTCTCGACCTTCTAACTTCTTCATTATGGTCCCGGTAGTCCGCTGAGTTAATCAGAGTACCTCGGAGGAACCGTGCCATGCAAGAGCTGGGCTTGACATTTAAGTGCCTTGGCTCACTTCAGACTTTCAGTCGTTTGAGTCGTCGCAGAGCCATAATAAAATCGAGTACATAGCAGCAGGCGGAAAGAGGGCCGCGTGGTCATCGTGGTAGGGAGCTGGTAGAGGAGGTGGGAGTAGCAAGAAAGCGGTCCTACAATGATAAAGAACGAGTTGCGCAACCACTGTGGCGACAACTGGAACTAATCACCACCATTGCTTCGTGCAGTAACATCAACGTTGATTTCATGATCGTACTCATAGCAAGAACAACAAAGGCTACTCGCAGCAATTACTGTGAACGACAATTGGCGTAGTCGTCTTCGTCATGGTCGTCGTCATCGTGGTCGACATAGTCGTCATCGACATAGTAGTCGTAGTAGTCGTAGTAGCCGTAGTAGCCGTAGTAGTCGTAGTAGTAGTAGTAGTAGTAGTAGTAGTAGCAGTAGTAGTAGTAGTAGTAGTAGTAGTAGTAGTAGTAGTACCGATGATAGCCTTGCCAGCCCATCAAAGAAGGCATTGAGGAGGACTTGTAGCACCCGTAACATCACTGCTATGAACCCGCGGCTGCTCTTGGAATGGTACTGTGAACGAACGGCAGTGGCAGGAGCTGTGGAAACCCTTCAACATAAACATACCCATGGTATAGCTGCTGTTCAGACACCGGCCATTGGAAAAGGGATGTGGCCTTGAGTTTTGGAGCTTGGTGGTACGTGGAGAGTTACGGGACGCGGGGCACAACCAGAGTAGCCTTGGGATGTGCGGAGATGGTGAAGAAAGGGGAAGGGTAACACCAACGATACTGTTACGATGAGAGTCAAAGCATGAAGATGCCTGTGGAGATAGAGATTCGCATTTTTGCGCTTCGGAATGAGGGCCAGTGCAAGAGGGTGCAGCACAGCTGCGGTCTAGGTTTGTTCACAGCTGCTCCCGAATGCAGGGATGAACGCTAGACAACCAATTTACAGGCTGTATCTTGCTGCCTGGTGCCGTGCTTTGAATTGTGGGCACATGTGTGGATCGGCGAAGCAGGCATAAACGCAAACGAACACTTCCCAACAATCAATCCAACAGTTGTTCATTTCGATGCACAATGCAGTTTCGGGAACCTGCAGTGCCCGACATAGTAAGTATCCCAGCTCAGCATAGCACATGACATGTGCGCAGGGAGGCGATGTATTTTCGTTCGCCGGAGCCTCAGAAAGTAACGCGAGTTCCTGCAGTTAGCATTGAGAAGGAATGTACCTACCGGTTCACTTGTGGTTCATTATCAAGCCAGCCACCACTTAGTTGCATCACTGCCTACAGGCACTTCCAGCTCAACAATATCTTTAAGCAGACAAGACGAAGCAAGATCTCGAAGCCCTGTTACCTGATTCCTCCAGGAGCCGAATGTCCAATCCCAGAGCCATTTACCTGGGTTTGGGATGTCATGGCAAGGTTGCCGCGTTTTCATGTTGCATAGTGTTGTTACGATCTCCGTTGGCCGACAAGTGGTTCTGAGCGTAACAGTCTACCTCGGTGGGAGGGCGTAGTTGAAGGTGATCGGATGAATTCTTGTGGAGACAGGCAGAAACTCCTAAGCAGCCGAAAGGGCGTTTGGTTTCCAAACGTCCAAGTTGAGAGCCGCATATTATGTAGGTTCTGATTTCTCCATCCAGCTAGGCAACTTGAAAAAGACAAAAGCGATGCTAGCTTCGCCAAAGAACCCTATAAAGAAGAACGTAACGTTTAGCGAGGGCTCGTGGCGGAAACAAGGGTCCAGGTTTGAGGCGTTTGGCCTTGGAATGACGGCGGGAGATAGCTTGAACAGGCCTCATTCCCGAAGCTTTCTGAACTCTCTCTATAACTGCAAACCCTCCCAGTTGTGAGTGCTGAGAGCCTGTAAACGCTGACCACTGTTCGCATGAACCCAGCAAATCAGCCTGTAAAGCCCGAAATCCCTAGAGCTATTAATGCGAGAGGGAAAAAACTCATGGGTGGCGATAAGTAGGGTTATAAGTCGGGTAGCTGTACTTATAACCCATATTATGGGACATAGCCCCACTTATAACTGCCCATGAACCTCCAAGTGCAAGCCCGAAGCTGTAACCCGTGTGCGTCCGAGGGCAACCCCCGCAGGCGCATGGGACACTTGACCACCTCGTGGTTCTTTTCGGGTTTAGTCATAACCAGATCAGAATGTGCCCGGATTCAACAGATCTTTACTGTAGGCGTTGGGTCATCTGGGCCTTGGATTTCATTGAAATTGGCAACATCCTGATCTGTCTTCTACAGATTGGGTATCCGAAGGCTTTAAGATGCGGGTGTTGTGTAATGCGCCGGGGCTAGGCTAGACGTCTTCAACTTGACGAGGGGCAGGGGTGCCACTTGGCTTCAGTCTACCTGGACTGCTTCGCTTGCATCCATAGATGCAGTCGGCGTGGATGTTGCCTGAGTCAACCCAGAGTTGCATGGTCACTGTACGTAGCCTGTTATCTCAGTGGTGCCAAGCCCGTGGAAGGCTGCGTGACCTATGGGGGCAACAAGGCATACTTCCGCGACACAGCATCTGGTGGAGACTGCGGGAGCCGCGGAGCAAGCTGCATCTGCGCAACTTGAAGATTGAGATTTTGTTCCTGGATCTGTGAAAGACCCCCTTCAAAGGTAAACAACGAGACACCGAACCCTTGAAGCCATCCAGGGCCCGCCACCTCGAATTCGTTCGCAACGCTTCGCCCAGGCAGTCAGGGTGGCTGGCGCGTCCAACATGCCCTCTTGAGAAAAAAACCGAGCTGCCGAGGGTCAAGCTTCAATGGTCGCATGTTAGTAGCGGACCACAGCGGCAAAAATGCACGTGCATGTGCCTGTCCGCAGATGCTAGGCAACAGCCGTGAACAACAAAGACTGTACAAGAGCAGAAACCCGGCAACAACTTCCTAGAGACCGGAACAGGCGCCAATTTGTCGATCAGAGCAACTGCAAGATCTGCCACTACGTTTACTGCTGTGCAACCTGGTTCGGCTTGCCGCTGTAGATAGGGCTTGCAATCCGGCCGAGATTTGAAAAGGGTGTCCTTAAGTTCAGGCTCTTGAGACGTGCTTCTGATTTGTGCTTTGATGTGATTTCGGTTGCGTTTCCACCTATTTACTTCATGTAGAACACGAGGTCCGTTACACGAGACGCCAATCAGAGCGCTGGCTCGCACTGCCAACAATCTGAGCAGGGACCGTGTATCGGGTCCGCAGACAGTTTCGTCTTAGGGCTGCAAAGCCCGCCCTGTTTTTGACCTGCAACATCAACATCCCAACGAGAGCAGGGAAATGCAGCAACAGCAGCCGTGACGGGATGAGCGACAGCGACAGCAGCGACAGCAGCGACAGCAGCAACAGCTCAGTGCCCCTCTCTCTCTCTCTCGCTCTCTGTCCCTCAATTTGTTTTTAAACTATATTCGCTTTCGCGGGTGTATCACAAAAGCACAGGCATTGGCACGTCTAGCAGTGACATGCAGTCAGATGTCATTCCGGTTTGTGGACAAGCAGCACGCGCTGGTCGTTCTCGAATCTCTTCCTACTACAAATCTTTCTTCTGTTTTGGTCCCGCCGCCCCTGAATTGACATTTATTTCCGGCGAGGGTTACTTAGGGCATCCTATTCCTCACTGCTTACTTATTCTAGAACGTGTGTAATGGGTCTTGGCAAGCAGGTATATATAAAGGCTAGCAGGAGGTGATTAGTTGTCGTCGAAGAGCAAGTTTACGATCGAGACCTTCAGCCATGCTCCTGAGATCGGAGAATCGAAATGATCCAGACTGCACGACCAGCGAGTCCTTGCGAAGATGCCTCACGCCGACTCTCGGATTGGGCTTCCAGGCCACGAGAAGCAAGAAGCATCATCCTCCGAGACCGCACCTAGCAGCAACATGCAGCAACAACAAATTCTCTGCCATGCACATACTGCAACCACATGCTCCCGAAATGTGCGATGGATTCCGATGGCTTGCAGCGGTGCGGAGCTTGGATGTTCTGTCGCGGCCACTGTCGCAGAACTGTGCGCCCGACGACCGTTAATCAATTGTCAAGTCATGAAATTGGTCATGGGTGAGTAGAGGTCAGCCTGCACTCATATGGATAAACAAGGCATGTTGCCCCTTTGCACGTCTTCTTTTCAAGCCAAGAGATGTGAGTCAAGGATGGTGATTTGGGCCCCTTTTCTAAGCCCAACTCCGCAGCGTTGAAAAACCGAACGCCCCAGAGAGTCCGATACTGTAGCTTATGCTGACCGACGCACCCCCGGGCGCGCCGTCAGGTGAGTCCATCTGTTCGGAGTAACTATAGTCGAGGGATCTGATCAGTGCAGGCGAGGCCTCAGTTTGCAAATACCCGCGACCTTGAATCTTAAACGACGCAAACGAGAAGCAAGGGCCACCCAGTGCCTCTTCTGCTGCATTTTGACATCAAGGGCTGTCGGGAATCATGAAGTTCCCGACTGCGCTAATCTTCTCGTGCCGGCTCTGATGGAGTGCTGCCTACCGGGTCGCTCCCGGACACCACTGGAGCTTCATGCCAAGTCTCTTCAGCGAGCAGGTAGCGTCGACCAGGGAGTGGGGGCCCAAGACGAACCCATAAAGCTAAGCAAGTTCTCTGCAATGCGAGAGGGGAAACGCATGCTATTTTAAAGCAACCATAAGCAACCCAATGGAAAAATCACATGTTTGAAAATGCAATCCCGCACCCCAGGCCATTTCGATGGAGTTCCCCATGTTCACCATTCCAGTCGAGACGCTGCTGCAGATGACGACAATAGAACCGCACGAGGAGCTTCAGGCAGGGCCAAGGCTGTGTGTTGATGGTTTCATGGGCGATCTGGCGGCCACGAAGCATCAGCATGCGAGCAGGTCTCAAGCACTAGTCAGGCAGTTCGGGTGAAGACAGGCGGCAGCAATTGGCACAGACTCACACGTCCCCAAACCTCGACTCTTTGAGGCTGTGGCAGAGTCCGAGCGTGACAGTGTGAACGGCAGTTCTGAAACCGCGAGCTATGAGAATCGAAATTCTGATCTTGGAAGCACCGCCCAAAGTTCCAAAGTTTACAAAACACCGACCAAACTGCACTGCACCCTGTCCTGGTCACACAGGCCCAGGGATCTCTCGTTGTCTTCGACCGGAGCATGGGGAACGCAGCTTTCGTGTCGCATCAGCGGCCTGGCTCCACCCACCACCTAGGAGCAGGGATCCAGGGCAGAGGATGAACGGCTGAAGCTTGTAAGATTGCAGGCTGCCAGGCAGACATTAAAGTTATTGTGCTGTTTATCCAGGTGGCTGGCGAAGCACCATCCGGATCCAGAGCTGAAGCAATTAAGGGTTCTGCAGGATGCACTGCGGCATCTTCTGCATAAGCTGACTTCTGTTCCAGTGGATCCGCTCACCGAAATCTACGTACCCACGGCTGAGTCTCTCCCACTCCGCGACTTCCAGACGAAGCCGCTTTATTTGTGGTACGATTATTTCTCCTGCCCGCAGCTTGGGCAATCATGTGAGAGCCGAAGCAATGGCCGCTCGGGGAGTCAGCTAGCTGATGCAATCGACAGCATTCCGGCCTACGTCGCAGAGTGCTCGTACTTTTTGGGGCTTTGCCCTGCGACTTGGTGGTGTTGAGAAGCTGCTTTTGTCGACTCTTTTTGTCGTCCAATCCTAGACGGCATGAAAGCGATATCAGGTGGTTGACTGCCCAGATGACGGGAGGGTCCTGGGCCCCATCAGCTGGGCTCAACGAGGCAGACTACGTACCTGTGTTGCCTAGTTAGGCCTAGTTTGGGATAGACAGCTAAATGGTCTGAAGCTTGTGGCTTTGATTTTCGGATGGTTTTAACATGTCCTGATTTGATTCCTGATGACATCCAGAATTTCGAATGCCTGGCGGGACGTTTCATCTCACAGTTTACAGCCGCTTTCAACAACTCCAGCTGGATCTTTCGAAGTCTGGCAGATGCTTTGGTGGTTCCAAGCTCTCCGAGGTATAAACCCTGTGTATTCACGCATTGGGATCAACACATCCGATCTGTCAATGTGTGTTTCCATCAATGCC